GGGCGGAGCCGCAGCCTGGGCCGGGACTGGGGTTGCTGCGCTCCCCGAGCCCGAGTCCCTCCAACGTCCGATTTGCAGAGCGAGAAGAGGGAGAGTCAGAGGGGGGGAAGGAAGGGTAACACAGACCTGCAGAATCCCCTTCCCTCTGCTCCGGCTTGGCGAGCTCTCGGGTAGGTTTGCGCCTAGGACCTTGGAGGAGAGCGGGGTTCCCCCTGGCCACAAGGGTCCCCTGCCTCCTCCTGACTGCTAGGCGACGACGTTTTATTTCGCCAGCCCTGTTCGCGGTGTCAGAGGCGTCAGGAACGGGCGAACGGCGCCTGCGAATTCTCTGGAGTGTTGACACGGAAAGGGGCAAAAGGAGCCTTTAATTCTGCCCGAGCGGCTTGCGGAAGGGAGTGACTAAAGCATAGGTTTAGTTTCAGGAAGGAGAAGAAAAAAATCCTTCATAAATTTAGAGGCGCGGCGGCAGCTGAGTCTGCTGCAGCCCAAAGTGGTGGCGGTAGACCCAGATGGAGACTGTTGTAAGTAGATTTCAGTAGATTTACAGCTGTGGTGTCCTCCCCCACCCCCTTGGTACTGGGATACAACTCGAGACCTTGCGCTTTCGAGGCAGGCGGCAGCACCGCTGAGCTAAACCCCCGGCCCTTGTGGTGTTCTTTTTGACAACCCCTCCTGACACATTTTGTGTCTATCTTGGCAAGTGAGAGGGCCTGAAAGCCATTACTCTGGTGTCAGTTTAGAAAATGACAATGATGGAGTTTGGATTATCTCCTTCCACTTTAATTCCTGGGATCCTGGACACCCGGGAGTGGCTGGGGACCAGGAAACCTTTTTAAATATTGACCCTCCTCTCTACCTGTCCCCCAATGCACAGGTCTAACAAGAGCAACGTTTCTATAAAGTGAAATGTGTGGTCAAGGCAAAGTCCTTGCAATCCTGAGACTGCTGGAACTAGGGAAGTTTCTTAGGATGGTGCAGCAATTTTGGATGTTACTTTTAATGGGGGATGAAAGGGACACATAAGCTTATTTCCCCTTAAATCAATGCCTCAATTATGGGGGAAGCTTACTCAGTACCATCATTCTGCAGGGATAAGATCAGACTTTAAACAAACTCGGCATAGGAATAAATAGCCGTGGCTCTCAAGATTTAGCATGTTCAGAATCATCAGCTAGTTTTTAAAAATAAAGATGACCGAACCCTCATCCCCAGGATTTCGCATTAGGGCATTTTTGAAGATTTTCATTCTTCACCAGTTTCCAGGTGGCGCTGACACAGCTGAGTCCGGGATCACCTTTGTAGAACCACACTACAAAGCTGGAGGCCAAGTCAGCCCTGCCTGCTGCTTTCCGTAGAGATTTGAAGTTAATAGTTTTTACTTTTTAAATTTTTTCATTTTTATTAGTACATTTGTTTGCGTTACATAGTGTCTACATTCATTGTGGGGACTTGGTATATGTAGGTAACACATTTTAAATGAATATTCACCATTAGCCAGGCCAGGGATTTAGCTCAGTGGTTCCTTCACCTGCCTCAAAAGCATGAGGTGCTGAGTTCAATCCTCAGTATCCCCCAAAAAAACACCACCATTAGCCCAAAACTTTGATCCCCAGTTAAGCCAAATACTTTTTTAATTTTTTAAATCTCCTTAGTAGATGGGTATTTTTTAAAATTGTAACCAGTTATTATTTCTTGAATGCCATCAATAAAAACTATGAAAATGTATTTTCTCTTATTGTGTTAGTACTTATCAAATATTCATGATTTTGCCACTTGATCTGTAAAAATGAAAATCTGTATTATCTGTTTCATTGTAGAAAATCTTGGCAGGCCACTATTACAAAGTGGGAACCTCATTTATCTACTCTGTGATAAAACCAAACCATAGCCAAAAGCATAAAACTTTTGACCTTGATTTGAATGTTCTAGTAAGAACCCAGAAAGCATCATAACATAGGAAAGAGCATTGCATTTTTTCGTCTCTAAGGATATTTGAATAACTCATGGGGCGTTGTGAGGATTAAAGGAAATAATGGATCTGAAATGACTTTCTAATAATCTTATAAAGTACCAAATACAAGTAAGTACCAAATACAGCGTGCTTCACAGAAGCCATCATTTTCTAGGAAGGATAAGGGTTTTAGTGTCAGATATGGGTTTGAATCAGGCCTCATTACATAGCCACTCTGGAAGTAGCTATTTATCCTGTGGCCTCAGAGTCCCATCTGTAAGACGAGGATAACCATACTAGTTCTGTAAGACAGTTGTGAAGATTTAAAATTTTACACACACACATACATTGAGCATCCCTAATCTGAAAATCCAAAATGCTCCAAAGTCTGAAACTTTCAGAGTGCCGACATGATGCCATGAGTGGAAAATTCCACACCTGACCCCAGGCGATGGGTCATAGTCAAAACACGGATGCATTCAAAATATTGTCTTAAGATCGCCTTCACATTGTTGCTGTAAAGTACGTATGAAGTAGATGCACTTCTGCCTCAGACTGGGGTTCCATGCTCGAACTCCCTCTTGTGTATATGCAAATATTCCAGACTCCAAAAAAACAAAGTCTGAAATCTGAAATACAAGCACGTTGGATAAAAGATACTCAACGTATCTTTGTATGTGTTCACTTAACTCAGTGCTTGTCCTCAATAATTAGTCCGTCATTACTAATTATAGCTTTCATTTATTATTATCACCTGCTGCATCTAACAAATTAAGAAATATGACCTCAGGAGGTAGCATTACATTCTAAAGGGTTTTACACTTTTTATGGTTTAGGGACCCCTTAAGAATTACTAAGGATCTGGCTGGGCGTGGTGGTACAAGCCTGTAATCCCAGCACTCAGGAGGCTGAGGTAGGAGGATCGCTGTGAGTTCCAGACCAGCCTGGGCTACATAGTGAGTTCCAGGTCAGTCTCAACTACATAGTGAGACCCTGCCTTAAAAAAACAAAAAACAAACAAAGAATTACCAAGGATCCATAAAGCTTTTATTTTTGTGGTAATGTCTATCAGTATTTATCATAATAGATATTAAAACTAAGAGATTTTTAAAACATTTTATAAAAGATCTCTTGATTTTGCTTAGGTACAAGGAGAACTGGAATTTCAAAATGATTTAATAAACAGGTTATAGAAATTATAACAAATGAAACAGAAATTAACATACTAAGAGCAAATGATAAAAACACACATTTGAGGGCCCGGGATTTTAGCTCAGTGGTGCCACTGCCTGACTCACAAGCACAAGGTCC